TATTTTTATACGTATCCCTTCACTTTTGGGTCGTTCTCTTTGAGTGTGGAGCTTGACTCTATTATCGTGGAGTTCTGCATCCGTTACTAGGTATGCCTGGAACAAGTAAGTCCTTTTGTATGGAGGAAAGTTGCTTATCTTCAACGTCTATACGAGGAGACAGGAGAGGAGCTCACCCTGGCTCGATTAATGAATCTTTATTCCCCCAAGATTTTTCACGGGGGAATGATAAATTTCAGCAAACATGGCCACCATGCTCTGCTAACCAGCATGGATGATGATCACGACCGTGGGTGGATGGAGAGGTTCGTTGCAATTGCCACCAGAGACATCATTCCGGCCATGACTCCATCCTTTCCGGAATTATGGAACCGTACTTGTAAGTTTACCGTTTTTCCCATTCTAGTTAGAGGTTGCCCCATGCTATTACTAACCCGTCTTATTTCACTTTTTTTAAGAACCCAGTGGACATCACTTAGGGTTGAAGGCTCGGACCAGTGGGTCAAAGAAATTTTGGATGTCACCATGCCTGAGACCCGCACGTGGAAAGAACTGGCCCTTAAATATGGGTGGAAGGCCAAAAATCATGGTAAGTCGAACTCATCTTGTTTTTACCTTTCGTCTAGGAAAGTTGATTAACCTTTCTCTCTAGTTGAATTCAGGTCTATCCCAGGGCTCAATTATCGTCTCCGAGGAGGACGTTTTGGCTGATTCTGCTGACGCGACGATACTGCTACAAGAGCCTTTCACCAGAATAGGTGTCTTTGGGCATATTTCTGGTGCAAGTGCTTCTTCTCTGAGTCCCCGACTGGAGAACAAGCAACCAAAAAGGAGACATTCCTTCGCGACCGGGGGAAAAATACAAAGGTAAGGAGTGTCGCTCCCCAGTCATCTTCGGATGCTGTGGTGTTGAGCACCGTGCCCAAGCCGACCATAGACACCATGGTGATCGACGATGATGGAGAAGCCATTGATCTTGGGGCTTCCCTACATAGAAGACGATGACTTCACCAGCTCAACATAATGCTCAATCTGTTGAGTTAGTTACACCAACCGAGGACGATGCCTCAGCACTCTGGGGGAGTATGATATGGTCGAAAATGCTAACTCTCACTTTCGGATCCCAGTTTCCATGCCCGGTACCGCGAGGCTGAGTACCGGGTCCTTTCCGTCTTCGGTTGATGAGCGACCAACAACTAGCACTGCATTTGCTGCAGCTGCTTCTCAACCTACAATGCCATTAACTTCATCTCCTTTTCACCAACTCTGCCTTCGCCACCAGCAACTGCTACATCATCTCCACCGGTTATAGTTGCCCGAAAGGAGAATATCCCTCCTCCCGAATCCCCAGTTCATGGGAATTTTGGGCATAAGTAATCTGCCCCCTCTGAAGATCCCCTAAGGAGGACGAGCATCACCTTCTCGGTTTCTACCAGATGCCGTATGTTATCCCGGCTAGTGGAACTTACTAATTGTCTAAGGCCTTTGGCTTCAGAAAAAGATAGGAATAAAGTACAAACTCTCTCGGGAGAATGTTTGTTGAACAATACCATGCACAATACAACAACAATATAGTCTTTATTTCCTCTGTTGTTTCTTCTATCTTTGTTATGGAAAGGTTTTGAGTTTGCATTTTTGGTTTGCAGGCCAACTTCCTTGCTTGCGAGGGCCTTCAAAGGCTGATCTTTGATAAGGAGGAACTTACCTCTGAGTGGGATCAACTTTTGGCTGAGAAAAACTAGACTACTTCTTGCCTCTCAGAACTGGAAGCACGAGCTGCTGAGGCCGTGGAGTTGGAGGCTCGGTTTCAGTAAAGCAAGAAAGAAGTAGTGACCCTTAGCTAGAAGACCGCCTAGTTAAGGGTGCAATTTGAAGAATCTAGGGCCAAATGGGTTGAAGTCCATAATGCCATTCTTGTTGTATTCGATCATTAGGCTGCCTCTGTAGAAAGATTGAATAATTTTGAGGCAGCCTTAAACTGCAAAATCAAAGAAGTTACTACTTCCAAGGAGAAGTATGCCCGGTTGGAGTCCGTGACTCCGGGCCACTAGATCCGCGCAGGACAACCTTTCTGCCGAGGTTGACCAACGTAAATAAGAATTTCAGTGCCGAGCGACTTCCCTCATTGTTTAAAAAATACATTTTATGTACAACATGAGGAGAAAAGCATTGGAAGAGGCCAAAACGAGTGTCATCGGCTTCGATGCCGAAATCTCCAAGGCCCGTGCACTGAGTCAACTGCCCGAAGAGGTCTTATGCTCCTGACTGATGCTACCGACTCTTTTGGTTCCTATTCCAAATTCTCGAGAACTGAAGAAGAACCAGAAGGTGACGATGTAGAAGGCCAAAATGGTGAAGGCCAAGATATTGAACCATCGGCGAATCCACCCACATCTCCTGGGGCTGCATATGCTTCTCTTCCTCCGGGTTCCGGAGATACATCGGCTTATTTTTGCTTTCTTTTCTTTCTTATATATTTGTACCTATACTGCCTAACACGTTTATTGTGAATAGAAGCATCTTTTCGTTTAAGTATTGTGCGAGTTTTTCTCTTTGTGTACTATCTGCTTAAGTATTTCGCAAGTTTTCCTTTTTGCGTTCTTTTTGTTTAAGTATTCTCACAAGTTTTTTGCGCCGAGATACGTGAGGCTTCAATTATATTTTCCTCGGTAGTATTTGGATTCCGGGCGCAAGTTCTTCCGTAATCAGCCCTTTAACGTGAGGGTTTTATAAGAAATGGCCCTCTTATGTTTATGGTGCTCTTGAAGAGGACGTCTCCTGTTCATTACAACACTAGCATTTGAAGCACTTGTTTAACTTTCAATGATAAAATTAATTTATCGTTCAGACAAGAAACAAGATAGAAATAAATGGACTTTACTTTATTCCTTCCATTTTCAAAAGTACATAAGCATTCATCGTGCAAAAAAGAAGTTGACATTACTTGTGGCTAACTTGTACAACTTGTACAACTTGTTTCTATGAGGCTAGCCACACAGTCTCCGGTCCCGATGATACAACTTTGCTTCTGAGTTTCGTATTTCAGTCGATATGGCAGCTATAATTGCCGTATCCTTTCCCCCAGTGTTCGAATGCGAAGAATGTGAATTTGAACACTGGAAGTCTTGATCCTTTGGGGATTCCACTAGTGGATAGTTAGATAATCTTTAGTTTGGTAACAAGATTCACTTTACCTTAGGAACTTTGTTATCAATCCAAAGACTATCTAACAACCCCCAGTGGTTTGCACTTGTGAATGGTCGGGTAACCCTTGGCCGATAGCAAATTTTACTTCCCGCTAAGAATTTTTGCTACTGAGCCAAAGATTATCTAACCACTCTGTAGTGATCCGTTATTTGCATGCCTTGTCATTTTAAGGTCTTATTTCTGTTGCTAAAGCTTCCTTTGTAGTATGCTTTCCATTTCTACCTCGTTAAAAACCTTGCCAGAAATACCTAACTGGGACAAAAACTGGACGAAGGGGAAAATAGTGCAGCACATACTTTCAATGTAGGCGAGGATCATCAGCAATAGTATCTTTTGATGTGTGTCGTGTTCTAGTTACTCGGAAAATTTACTCCATTTTGATTTTCCAATTCGTATGACCCTTTTCCGGTGACAGCTAAAACCCGATAGGGATGTTGGGCCCAGCTTTCCTGCGTTGAGCTCCTAGTGTTCTGAGTTACTTTCATTGAAACCAGGTTTCCTACTTTGAAATACCGGAGGTTGGCTCTTTGATTTTTTCCATTCTCTGCTTTTGGGTTGCCATCCTTATTTGCGCCAAGTCCCTACGTTCGTCGAGGAACTCCAATTTGACCAACATTGCTTCATTATTTTCTTATTCGTCCGCTCAGATATATATCTCAGGGTAGATTCTCCTACTTCCATTGGGACAAGGCTTCTGCTCCGTATACAAGAGAGAAAGGAGTTCCCTCGTGCTTGATTTGGCCGGTGTCTGGTACACCCACAGTACTCCTAGCAACTATTTGGGCCATTTGCCTTTGGCTGCTTCCAATCCCTTTTTGAGATTTTGTATAATCAACTTGTTTGTTGATTATACTTGACTGTTTGCGCTTGGATGATAAGGCGATGATGTGATCCTTTTGATTTTTATGTCTTCAAGAAACTTTGTGACCTAAGCGCTTATAAATTGTGGCCCGTTGTCGCATGCTATCTCTTTTGGTATCCCAAATCTGTAAATTATACTCTCCCATAAGAAATCTACCACTTTGCACTCGTCAATATTCTGATAAGGACCAATTTCAACCTACTTAGAAATATAGTCAGATAAAATCAAAAGACACCTTACCTTACAAGGGGCCAGTGGAAGCGGGTCGACTATATGCATCCCCATTTTCATGAATGGCCATGGTGACAAAACTGAGTATAGTGGCTCTGCCGATTGATGTACAAATGGTACGTAGCATTGACATCTATCACATTTTTTAACATAAGCCTTGACATCTTGTTCCATCCAGGGCCAGTAGTATCCTACCCTAATTAATTTTAACACCAAGGAATCCGCACCTAAGTGATTCCCGCAAATCCCTTTCGTGGACTTCTCGCATAACATAATTAGCTTTGGAAGCACCCAAACATCGGGCCAACGGGCCTTGGAAGGATCCTCTGTGTAAGTACGTAATTTTTGACCCGCACAACTTTTAAGTTAGTTTTAGCATTTTAAATATTTACTTGAGTTATTATCGATTTTTAATCTATTTTTTATTATCACTTTATTAGTTTAATTTTATTGTTTTAGTATTTAAAATTAAAGAAAAATACCAAAAATAATTTTATTTAATATTAGTTAATTAAATTTTAATTAATATTTTTAGGATTTTTGAGTTTGTCTTTGTTCAACCAGACAAACCATATTTTGGGGTGAGTTTCAGATTTCTTTGGCCCAATTAGGAATGGCCCACAAGATTTGAGCCCATACTCTTTACACCCAAATTAAAACCTTTTAAAACCCCTAATTCCTTACCCTAGAGCTTTAGCCATTTTCACACCAAAAACAAACACCCTAAGAACAATAGCGTTCCCCACCCCTCACCTTTCTCGTTGTCTTCCTCTTGTTCTATTACTGCTGCGACGGAGACTGTTAGTGGCACCTTCCAAAAAAGGAGAAAGGGAATTCTCTCGTTCACTTTGAGAGCTCCAACCCTATCTCCTAAATTGAGGGCAGCCGGTTTCCACTCCTCTGGATCTGATTTGCGAAAATCATCACTCATCCCCTCCAAATCTCCCTCACCTCACACCACAATCAGAAAGACACACACGCACAATAAGGGGAAGAGGAAAGTAAACATGTAACAATAGAGAGAGAGGGAGACAGATGGAATGAAAAGAAAAAAGAGAAAGGGGTCACCGTCTTCTCCTTCTTCTTTGAGCAAAAACAACCCACGTTCCTCACAAAACAAACAGTATTTTTGATCGGAGTCGAATCGAATTTTCCGACGAGTTTTTTCCGGTGAATCTCGAGGTTCCGACATGGTTTTTTGTTAATGGGTCTGTTCGTTTTCAACTACAGTTTCGCCTTCTTCTTGTAAATCAGTTGGAAGATTTTAATATATTGAAAGGTTTAAGAGGAAACTGATGGCATGAATCACAAATTGAAGGATTCAAAACTGAGGAAACTAAGATTACTAGCTGAAGTTCGGTAAGTTTTGTTTTAACTTCATATAAAAGGTTTTCATATTTACTTGATATAGTTTCACTTAATTTAAGTAAAGATTTTCTTGAATTTAGTATTTTGGCCTTAGCCTTCGAAGCTATATGATCTTGGATAATATAACTAAGGAAAATGAATTCTGTTGGTAATTATGTTAAGAGTCGTTATCTTCAGCATCTTAATATTTATTCATTTGACAATGTAATCTTGTTTGAATTGTACTTTTGTGCATATGCTGATTCCAGTTGTTTCGCAAATGCTTGATCTCTTTTCTAGTATTTGAATTTAAGTGCAATATTTTACTTTTTGTCCCGCATATATCCATTGCAATAGCAGTCTTGGAAAGAAATGTGTAGGCTAGTTGTTAAAAGATTTGGACCGGATTAAGCTTCATCGCACCTGGGACATTTTAGTTAAATGTTGGTATTTTTTTTATCTCAAACTTAGGAAAGAAACAAAAAATGAATATTCGTAGAAAATACTTTAGGCGCGACTTAATCTATCATTGCGATTGTGTATACGTTTGCGTGACATAATTACGATTTTCAAAGTAAATCGAGGTATGCGTTCGCGCAACTTCGACCAAATATTCTTAATATTAACAAAGCGTGATTAATTGTGTACACGTACGCGTGATATAATTCTTAATGAGCCGAACGAAATGAGTACACATACGCGTGATTCGTTTTAGGATAGTTTCTCAATTAAAAGCGGTAAAATGAAAAGCGCACATAGGTTCTAAAACACATAATTAAACAAATTAATTAAGCTAGGTATGATTTAAAGTGACCATGCCAAAACTACGGAATCTGGAAATGCCTAACACCTTCTCCCGGATTAACAGAATTCCTTACCCGGTCTTTTGTTTCGCAGACTTTTTAAACATAGTCAAATTTCCTCGATTTGGGATTTAAAATAAACCGGTGACTTAGAACATCCTAAATTATTCCAAGTGGCGACTCTGAAATTGAATAAATAATCCTATTTCGATAATGTCACTTAAATTGGAAAAACTCCCTATCCCTATCGGGAAAAAGGAGGTGTGACAGCTCTGGTGACTCTGCTGGGGAACAAACCCAGAGTCTCTGATTCAGGGTTCAAAATCGTGCTTGTTAATATGATCTATGCTCGGCTTTATTGTTTGTTGATATTACTATATTCGTGGACCTAATGTGCTAATTGCCGCTTATTTACCGCTTTGATATTATTTGAACTGTATTAAACTGTCTTCTTATGCCTTCCTTCTGAGTCTTCTAAAAATATGGTGCACACGTACGTGTGGCCCACTTTTCTGTTAGAAGTTGTACCAAATAGAATGAGGCTGGGTCAACAGCTAGGCCGGGTAGACTTTTGTACTCCCAGTACATTGCCCCCACCTCGGCTCGAGCTGTTTGCTCGGGTAAGCCAGGTTTAGGACACAACCCCAGGTTTAAATCTAGAATAATATAACCTCATGCTGAATACCTACTAGGCACGTTTGTTTGCATCATGTGCATTTGACTTTGGGGACTCAACACAGGGGTTGAGTCTGTCTAGGACAGGTGTCCCCAAAAAATAAAAGACCATGCTAATGCATCCTATGTGCTACATGTTGCATTATCCAAGGGTAAAAGGGGTCATTTGGCGGACCAATGATGGTTGAGGGTAAATGAGAAAGAAAAGAGGGCAAAGTGTAAAAATGAAGCAAGTAGTCCCCAGTTATATTTTTCTTTCGCAATTTTGTTCAAGAAAAAGACAAAAAAAAAAATGAAAATGAAAAATCCAAAAAATATAATAAAATTGCACTTTCCCATCATTTTTCAACAAAAAAAGACAAAAAATATATTTTCTCCAAATCAGTTGTTTTATAAAATTCTCGCATGTATCCAATTTTTCCGAACTACGCATACCTGATTCTCGTCTTTTAGGGCGGGATATGGAGCAGCCCACATAAGGTCCGGTCTTCTTAGTGAGTCTTAAGTTCTTGGCTTCGAGGGTCGTAGCCAATTCTTGCATGTCTAACCATTTTTGACCACATCAGCCTTTTTACAAAATAGGGTTATTTTTGCAAAGTGGCTTGTTGAATTGTGTTTGGAGAGTCTTGAATCCCCATTAGCTATCTCCTTATTTTAAGGTCTGTCCTTCTTGAATTTGCATGTCTAGCCACTTTTAAGCTGCATCTCTTATTTTGCAAAATGGGGCCATTTTCACAAAAGCGATTGTTAACCCATGTCTTAGAGTCCTAAGTTCACAACATGATGTCCTCTCTGTTTAAGGTCCATTCTGTTGAATTTGCAAGCTTAGCCATTTTTTTTGGCCACATAAGCTATTTCTACAAAATGGGTCATTTCGGCAAAGTGATTTTTTCATGTCTTTGAGGTCACCTTTGTCGAGTTCGCACTAATAGCAACTTTTGGCCACGTAGGCTATTTTGCATAAAACGCCTCTATCATGTCTTGCATGTGTCCAATAGGGAGTGTAATTGTCTCACATAGTGTTCTAAATCTTTAACTCTATTTGGTTTTAGTTTTCTCATACAGGTGTGGATCTACTTACCGGAGTTCGAGCATGACAGATACCCCGCGACCATCCAGTTAGGACCGCTGCATTCAGGAGATGCTTAAGGAGATTTTTTTTATGTTTTGAGTCTTCCTTCCTTTTTGTGTTGTCTTTTACTTTCTAGTCCTTTCTAATAGTACTGAGTCTTTTAGGTGATGTCAGAATCTATCATAGTCTAGCTGAGTTTGTTGAGTCTTTTGTTATCGTATATTTGATTCTGTATCCGAAAAAAGGAGAGTTGTAAATGAAAAATCTAAAAAGATTTTTGTTTCTTAGTTTATTTTGTCCATTACTTTTCCAGAACTACGCTTGGTCTGATTCATATGGAACATGATACGTAGGCAACCTACATAGGGTTCGATCGAATCATTTTTAAAATTAAAAGAAAAAGAAAAAAAGGAAACAAAAAAAGATAAAATTATGGGATGTGAGAAATGAGAGGAAAGAAAAGTGATAATTAAAAAAAAAAGAGGAAGGAAAATGAGCAAGCCAAGAAGTGCTAGAAAAGAAAAGAAAAGAGAAGATTGAAATGAACAAATTGGGATGATGCGAAGTGACCTTGTGACCCTCAAAGTCATTCTTGAACCGTTAATTGTTGCTTGGTGCATTGCACGTAATGTGATATTTTTAGCTGTTAAATGCCCTAACGCTAACATGATGACTTCATTTTGTTCCTCTTTGTTATCTTCATTATAGCAGAAGGGTGGTTGGTTTGTGGTTCTTAAACTGGTAACTCTTCCATAAAACACAAGGTCAAAGAGCAAGATAGTCATGGCTAGCAAAGACTTGGACACATGTGTTATTGATCCGTCTAAGGAGATTGTTGAATCAGAATCTGAGTTGAAAGAAAAGGTCTTAAGTTTGAAAGGACAGATGACCGAAATATACCAAGCCTGGATTAGTGGGCATCCTCCACCATTAGTTCCCGCTAACTACACTGAAAGCCTCGTCACCATCCTGCCACTGTCACAAATCCAGCTTCTTACTGCTGGTGATATCTCCCCACAACCTTTTCATACTCCACCCGCCAAAACCACCTCATATCCCGCTCCTTTAACCACTCATGTTTTTGTAGCTCCTCCACCATCTACTTTTCCTCGATCCTCTAGCGAGACTATGTTCAAAGTCCCCGATGCCTAACACTATGCTCTAGAACCAACTTTCAAGGTCTTGGATCCATACTCTCACGCTCCTCATTTTGAACCTCCCGGTGAAACTGAAAAGCCTGGTTAGACAATGGAGCAAGAGAGATATCCAGGAAGGTGAAAATCTTAGAGCAGTCTTTAAGAAACATGCAAGGGATATGTGTCACACCTCCTTTTTCACTACACCCCCCGGAAAGGGCAGTAAAGGAGTTTTTCCAATTTAAGTGACAATCGAAATGGGATTATTTCATTTAAATATTCAGAGTCGCCACTTGGGAGATTTATGGTGTCCCAAGTCACCAGTTCCAATCCCGAATCGAGGAAAAGATTGACTCTGTTTAACAGTCCGCGAACCAGAAACTCGAGTAAGTAATTCTGTTAACCCAGAAGAAGGTGTTAGGCATTTCCGAGTTCCGTGGTTCTAGCATGGTCGCTCAACTGTTATAATTGGCCTACTATCTGATTTTAGTAAATATTTTAGCCTATGGTGCAATTTTAACTCTTTAACCGCTTTTATTCATTTTTGGAAAGATTGCAACGTTATTTAAAATATGTCTTGAACCACGTCACATAAATGCACCCGCAGTCCGTAACACATTTTATATAACATTGTTGAAATTTGGATTTGGGTCACATAAATGCACACCCGAGTTTAGGAATGTAATTTTTAATAGCGCGTCTAAAGCAACTACACACTTTCAACTTTGCGAGGGCCATGGAAAATTCAACTAGTGGCACACCTCGATTTCTAAATGGTTAACATTAATTAAGTGAGGGCCATGGGCTAAGAGGGTTTTAATTCGAAATTGTTGTGATCGGGTTACATGAAATGCACACCCGAGCCCCCTTTAATCTAATTTGACATAGTTTAGTCGACGAATAGCAACCCAATATCTATATTGTGACAAATCATGTTCAGCTATAACCAATTCGAGTGAACAATTAACATTAAGCTAGAATAAAATAAGTAGAGGATTGAAGAGTTAAACCTTAATATAGCCGAAAAATTGATTGTTTCACTATTTTGAATTCAAAAATATAACAAACCGCGGACGGGAACTCGCATCGGCACCGGAAAGCTCGAACCAAATGACCTCAATCAAAAGAGCCTTCCTTGATAATGACAAAGCGCTAATGCAGAGAATTTCGTCCACGCCTTTAGATTCTAACTCGTCAGCCTTCTCAATAAACCTAGGCAGTTTAACCAAAAATGGATAAATCTATAAACTTAAACCATGTACATCCAACACAGCCTTCGTAATCACCAAACATTGCAGGAGTAATTCCAAAAGAAGCACATAATTTAGTAGTTATCATTAAAATGTCTAGATTTGACAATTTAAATGTGGCTTGGTGTTTTCGAGATCAGTAGTGGTCGTTCTTGGGTCCCTTTTTGGAATTTAAGTTTGTTATTTTCCTTTGTGTTCTCCGTGTGTGTTTTTCGGCTAGCTGGTTTTGTTTTCAGATGAGGGGAGCGGCGGATCCTCCTTTTTAGTGTAGGAATTTTTTTAGCTTAGCTAGGTCTAGGAAATGAAAACTTAAGGGTAGAGTTTCTATAATTGGGTATTTTATATAGAAGTGGGAAGGAATGATGGCCATTGGATTAGAAGGAAATAGATGGCTAGGATTAAATCTTGCACTTAAATGGGCTAATGGGTTGGGAAGAATGGGCTAAGGGTAATTGGATTGGACCATGTCTTTTTATGTTTCAATTTTGGGCTAAGAAGACTCCAAAAATTATTATTTAAAACCATAGCTAAATTCCCTTAATATAAGATAACTATACTACATGATGCAAAAATAAATTCTAATTAATTAAACTAAACTATATTAAAACATGAAACTATTACATATTTTTTATATTTTTCAAGATTATATAAAGCTAAAAATAAGGTACTATTTTTGTATTTTTTTTACTTTGTGAAAGGTACATAAAATAAAAATATTTTTTTGTAATTTTCATTTACTTGTAATAAAATAAAGTAAAAGAGTAAAAATGAGTTGAAATAGCTATATTGAGCCTAAATTAAATATTTACGTGCTAAAATATGAAAAATCTTGGGGAGAGTCAAAAATCACATGTCTACAGCTGTCTCTCTTTGACTAGAAAGACGAAGTATTTTCAGACAAAGAACGACTAGACATGTTTTTTGACCCGACCCTTATTTGGAGGGACTAAAACTAAGAGAGAGAGGGGAATGTGACCGAGCCCTGGTATTTGAGTTGCCTACATATCCTTGGCTATAAATGAATCAGGCCACGTGTAGTTCAGAGGTGAGTGAGATGATGGAGAGTGCCGAGGTGGAGAGCCGAGCGACGTGCCGTTCCGCTGAGGTTCAGGTCCGCGGTCCCGTTATTACATCAAAATTGAAAATGTAAAAGACTAACTAAGCCTATCAGCTACGAGGTACAAGATTCCTATCTATGAGTCTTCTGAAGCTTGATCTTGAGTCTTGGTTGGTTCTTCATGCGGACCCAGATCTGAATCTTGATGCTTGTTAGCCGCAGGTGTTGGTTCAATCTTCTTCAGCTTCTCAAACCAAGACGGGATATGCAGAGCTTGTGACCTCAGCCCTGTCTTGAGCAGCTCACATCTTTCATTAACTTCTGCATTTGGATTCACTTCTTGTCTTTCTTTTTGTTTTTTTTTTCTTTTTATTCTGAATGGTGACTAACTTCTGTTGATCATCTAGGACTGCTGACTCGCATTCTTGACGCGAGCTTCTTTTGTTGCTGACCTGAATTGCATTTTGAATTGAATTCCCCTTTTTTTTTCCAGGTGGGCGCCTGATTGCTGAACTTAAACCGTCTTCTCTTGTTACTTGACATTGTTTTCCCTTGCACCTTGAACCATTTTCCCTTGAAACTTGAACTGTCTTCCTTTGAAACTGCTTTCCCTTGAAACTCGAGTTGTCTTCCTTCGACACTGCTTTCCCTAGAAACTTGAGTTGTCTTCCCTTGTTCTCCAGGTGGGCGCCTGATTACAACAAAATAGACAAAACAAAAGAAAATTTTTCTGCCCGAGTTTGCACTAGGAAGATTTGTGAGTTGTTAGCAAAATTGTAAACCACTTGTACTATTGATGCAATGATGAGAGTAAACTAAAGAATAGACTAGGAAAACTATAAACTAAGCTTGACTAAAGTAAAAACTGAACCTATTCTCCAGGTGGGGCCCCTGATTTCAAGAAAACTAGACATTGATAACTAAAAATTGACCCCTCTTTTTTTCAAATTCAGACTTCCCCCTTCTTTTTTTTTAAAATTATTATCCTAGGAGAAAATTCGTCAGACTAAGTTTTCTATCTTAGGAGAAAGATTCATCAGACTAAGACGTTAATCCTAGGAGAAAATTCATCAGACTAGGTCCTTTTTCTCTTTTTTTTTTTGTTTTTTTTTGGTATCTTAGGAGAAAGATTCATCCTACTAAGATTTCTATCCTAGGAGAAAGTTCATCAGACTAGGTCTTCTATCTTAGGAGAAAAATTCATCAGACTAAGATTTTGATCCTAGGAGAAAGTTCATCAGACTAGGTCCTCTTTTTGTTATCTTAGGAGAAAG